GCCAACGCTTCGTGAGCTACAAGCAAAGATGAGAGAAGGTAGAGTTTTTCTGCATCATGTATGTGTTCTACTTTGATTATCGAAACTCTTATCATCATTGTTATAAACTAATTTGTTAACTAATGGGATAGCTGAGAATGATCCTCATGATGGTAAGAGAAAATGTGAGACGTTGTGGCCCATTTTCAAAATTGCCCATCAGAAGAGCCGCTATATTTCGACCTTTACCACCACAGGAAGGAAATATCCAAGGAATTGTATGAGTTCTGCTTGGACCAAGGATATGCTGACCGCAATCTTATTGCAAAATGGAAGAAGGTTTGTCATTTTATCTATGCACCATCTTCTTATATGGGAATTACATGGATATTGTATGCGAGTGTATTTTATTGTTGAGCAAACAAACAGATATTAACATATGTTTTGGGAATATTTCATTTCATTCTTTTTCTGGAACTGATGGGGTCACAAATAATTAGACAAATCGGTTTAGGGTTTCAATGTTTCATATCAAATACTAGTTCAAATTTCTAGTACTGTTAAGCAAATCCATCTAGCATTTCATTGAATTGTAGTATTTGAATATTGATCAATTATTTATTTCATATCAAGGGTTGGTTTTTCTGTTTGAAATCTCAGAGATCATTTTATGCGTTGAATGCGAGCTTATGTATAGATGGACATATATATGTGCATTACATACATTCATATATCAGACACATTTGTGTAGTCCCTTTGTTTTCTTCTCTCCTGTGCTTGGTCTTTTCGAGTTTTAAATTTCTTCTTGTTGTGGCAGCTTTTTATTGTTTCTGTGTTTTATTTATTGCAGCCGGGATATGAACGTTTGTGTTGCTTACCTTGCATGAAACCAAGGGATCACAACTTCGCTACAACTTGTGTCTGCCGTGTTCCAAAGCACTTGAGGGAAGAAAAGGTTATTGAATGCGTTCATTGTGGATGCAAAGGCTGTGCAAGTGGAGATTAGGTTTGCCTTTTATTTCAGCTTCTTCTTCTTTGATTTTAAAAGGAGGAGTTTTAATGTATTACTGCTGTCTCCCTGCTATTAAATTTCTGCAAACTTGCCTTTCCCTGTTGTTGCTCTGAACCTGAAACTTCGCCGTTAAACCTGTGTCCTGGCTTTGTATATGTTTTTGTGTGGCTATTAATGGTTTATAAGATTGTGGATTAACTAACTTGTAGCTCTGCAATGATGAGTCAAAATGACTGTTTAACTGATTGATGCAAGGTGAGTGATTTTTTCCTATTAGGAAGAGTAAACCTTGTTATAAATCTTGATTGGTCAAATTTTGATGTTTGGTGTTTCGGTTGATTTGGACAAGTCATATCATGAATTTGGTATGTTTAACTTGTTAGAATAGATAAGAAGCCTAAAATGTCAAACATGACTATAGAAGTTATTAAAAAGCAACTAAAATAGTATAATTAGAATTTTGATGATCAAAGCATGTTGAAATGTTAAATTGATGTTATGAAGCATGTGATGTGATGGTTGAAGTATGTTCATGTATGTTCATTAATTAAGTAAACAATTAGGTGTTGGATTGCAACTTAATCATGCATGTTCATGCTGAAATCTGCAATTTTCCAAAAAAAGAGGGAACGATCTCTTTGGGGAAAAAATCGATCCCCGGCTACTGGAATGAAAAGAACTGATCCCTTTTCAAAAGGATTGATCCCTCAGGTTTGGATTCATGGAAAGAGGTTTGACATTGCTTTTAAAAGCCCAAAAGTCATGGGCAAGCAAGGGCCTTGCTATCACTGTGGAGTTACAAGTTGGTTCTTGTTTCTCCAGCTATATATAAAGTTTCAAGCAAAATGAAAAATGCATTTGAGTCCTTAAATCTTCAAACTTTTTTTCTTTTGTAAAATCAATATTTTTTTCTATATGATTTATATGCTTACATGAATTATGATATCATGGGAATAACAGTATGCTTATATGATTTTAGAACGACATACTATGTCCAACAGATTGAGTTCTATTGGATACTGGGGAATTGCAGAGCCTATGTTGTTGAATTATGTCCAGTTTCAGATTCAACATTAAATTGGTATTGATTTCCCATTGCTCCATAGATGTTATAAGCCTAAATATCAAGCCAAACTGCAACCCTCTATTCAATTCATACAAATGTATTTCCTTGTAGCAACATTGTTTGGCTCCTATATAGTTGCACTTTCCATTGAGTTCTTGATAGATTTCCTGCTCATTTTCTTTTCTCGTAAATAAGCCAGTGTTTAAATTCCAATGCGTATGAGCATGTTCTCTCATGCTTGCTCTGGACATTTATGTTACACTCTTCTTTGCTCTGAGCAAGTTCTTGATCGTTTTGACTCATCTCAAAAGGGTAATCTCCCATGTAAATTTAAGAATTTATGTTTTACACTCTTTGCAAATTTAGGTAGCTAATATTTCCAATGTTAAAATTCATCAACCAATCAAAATGTTAAATGTGACATCTTTATTAATTTTTGGTAATTTGTAGAATTGATCACTTTTGTTTAAGTTTTGTATTATTCTTCGTTAAATTCAAAAAATATAATATTTGACATTTCGTTTTTATTTAGGGTAAACTATAATAATGTTGTTTAATAGTTTATCCATTTTATTTTAATCACTGATATTTCAATTTTATCAATTAGACTAATTAAGTATTTAATTATTGTCAATCAAATACATGTTATTAACTGTTGACGAAAATGTTGATGTAATAGTTGATAAAATTGACATTATTATACATTTGGTATTTAATATTTATAATTTTACCAATTTAAATAATATGATTACTTTATCAAAAAGGAAAAGTAATATAATTACAGGTGTTAATGGTGACATGTGTCATAACATGATTGAAGGAATTTTTTTTTATTTAGTTTATACATGTCACCGTATGATATAAGGAAAATATATTGAAATGAAAGGGTTACTTGGGGTTTTGAAACTAGAGTTACAAGGAGAATATGGCAAGCTTCAACCTCAAGACCAACCCTTATTTTTGGTTTAAGTCCTGAAACATATGTTATTTACCTTGTATTATTACTAAAAACAAAAGTAATGATAAAAGAAATCAAACCTTGATTTTTTAGAGAATATATAAGCCCTAAAACCATTTAAACAAATTTAATTATTGGTTTATAAATAAATATATTTCATGTATATTTTAAAATGCAGTTAATATAAGATTTAAAATAATGATAAATTTAATAGTTTAAAATTCAATTCAATTGTATAAAAATAAGTTTAATATTTTAAAGCTAACTTTAATATTATAATAATTAAATATTTTTAAATTAAATTTAATATTATAATATTCTTTGCAAAATGGAATTTAATTTAAAATATATTGAATTAATTTAAAATTATGAACAATTTGATAGAATGTGTAAGTAATGAGGACTAAATGTGTAATTATATTAATTTTATTAACTGTCACGTCAACACTTCCATTAATGGTTAACGACTAGTGGTTTGATTGAATGTATTTAAATAGTTGGGAGACTTGATTGATAAAATTGAAGATCGATGGTTAAAATGAAAAGGGGTAATAGTTAGATATTCAATGGTATAATTTTTAAAATAATTATATATATAAATGGTTGTTAACTTTATCAAACAATTTAAGTTAACAAATATATAAAATTATTAATAAATTTTTAAATTTATTACTTAAATTAAAAAGATTTAATTAGATGATTATATATATAAATTATTATTAACTTTATCAAACAATTGAAGTTTTTAAATAATTTCATATATATTTTTTAATAAAAATAAAATAATATATATATATATATATATATATATATATGAAATTATTTGTAAAAGATTAAAAATATTACTTAAGTTAAAAAAATTAATTTAACGATTATATATATTAGTTGCTGTTAATTTTATCAAATAGTTTCTTATATCTTTAATAAAAATAAATTGAGTTATATATATATATATATATATATATATATATATATATATATATATATATATATATATATAATTATTAATAAAATTGTTACAACAACAACAATAATAATAGCAATAATTTGCATAGTTAAAGGTTTGTCTAAGTTGTTTAGTCTCTAGAATTTAATAATTAAATAGCTAAACTTAAATCTTTTGATTTTCCTAAAATTTTTAATATTTAAATTAGTTCCCGATTGTCTATGAGAATTTCGTCCACCAAAATCCATGTGAACAATCAATTTATGCGGGATTTTGGTGGGTTCCCCCAAAGTTGCATTCAATTTCAAGGGGCGACGCAGTATATGCTGGCGATCGAGGATGGTATCGATTAGAGTTAGGGATTTGAATATTTGAAAATTTAAAGATTTAGAAATTTAAGAGTTTAAAAAGATGATAAGGGTGATGGTCAATAAGTGGATGGATGATGACAGGTGGGTGGATGTTTGACGACGATAGCAGAAATAGTCATCAATGTCAGTAAGGAGATTGAAATAAAATAAATTAGGAATTCGAGTTTTTTCTCTCTCCATATTTTCGAAAAGTTTTATTTTTTTAAAATATTTTTTTATTTTAAATAAAAAATTCAAAAAATATAAAACACAACACATGTCAATAATGTCGAAAATGTTAGATATTTATTTAAAATCTAAAATACTTTAGACACCTAAAATAAGCAAAAACTATAATTCGAATACTGGTCATTAAACCTTTAAAAAATAGAGGGACAAGTTTTATGCAAATAAAAGTAGAGGGACTGAATCTTCAGATATTGATAAGTTTATGGTTTACTTTAAAAAATTATCTATATATTTAAACCTAAACCCAATAATATTAATCCATAGCCCAAATCAATTATCCAAGACTGAACTAAACTAAAAACAACTCAACCCAAACCCAATTAACATTATTAAAATTAAATACAAAATAAAAATTAAATAAAAAAATAGATAAGAAAAAAGAATAAAAGATCAAATGCCTAAAACCCAAACCCTAATTCTTTGCACTCAGCGCATAAAACCTCACTCAGTATGTCGCACGTTTAGAAAACTAATACCCATCGTTTCATCTTCCGGTTCTTAGCTTTTGTGAACCTTTCATCGTCGGAGCTCTCAGCCTCTCATCGTCGGAGCTCTCAGCCTCTCATCGTCGACAGATCTCACTTTGGGCTCATCGTCAAAGCTATCATTCGTATGCACTAACCAATGAGTTCTTTTTTTTATTGTATTGATTAACTCGAGGTTTATTATCATATTAATTGTTGTTGGTTTCTATTTATGTATTTGGATTCTGTTTTTTATTTCGTTTGTAAGGCTACTATTGTTTTCTTTGTGTAAATTATACAAATGTTCTCGAGTTACTGTTCATTTTTTTGGTAATTTCTTTGGTTTTGTTTTAGTGTAATTATGTTAGTTAGCTTCTGTTTCATTTGTTCTTGTTCATGTTTTCATTATTATATAGAATTTCAGATTTATTTATATGATGTGTGTGTTGTTTGTTTTTTGTTGCTTTAATAATTATTTTTCTTCTTTTTTTTCCAAAGCTTGTCGGCTCTACTCTTAGGATGTTTTCAATTAAGAATAAATTGTTGCTGTTTAGGGATTGGCTCGTAAACCTTTGCTCAATGGGTGTTTGATTCTTTTTCTTTTTCAGAATTTCAAACGAGAGGAAAATGAGTATGATATCTCAAAATGCAGTGTCTAGAAACAGAGTGAAGGCTAAAAGGGATGATGAAGTGCTCTCAAATCATGGAGATAGCAAAGATCCGGAGAATGGGTTGGAATCTGATTCCAAAATCTTAAAGTTGAAAAAGAGAAAGAAAGAAAAAGAAAACCAGATTGAGCATGAGCAGGAGAAAGAAATGAAAAAGCTTGAGAATTTCCTTTTTGGATCTATTTATTCCCCTGTTGAATTTGGGAAAGAGGCTGAGGAAAACGCACAAGCTGTCATTGCTGAAGATGGTTCTGCCTTGTTCTTTTTGGACAATTCTCCGAACGATGTGGAATTGTCCAAGGAAAGTGATAACGAGGAGAAGATTGGTAACAGGAGGAAAGTGGTTTGGGTGGATGAGGAGGAGGAAAGAACTGCGATAAACATAGCTAAGGTTAATAGGTTGAGGAAGCTGAGGAAGGAAGACGGTGAGAGTGTGATTTCTGGTTCTGAGTATGTTTCGCGATTGAGGGCTCAACATGCTAAGCTGAACCCTGGAACAGAGTGGGCCGATCTAGATTCAGGGTTAAGGAATGATCGTAGTTATGATAACGAATCATCTGATGAAGAAAAGGGTGTAGTGCCTGCCTCTGGTTATGGAAATGGTGAAGTTGTTGATGATATTCTTAGAACAAATGAAGATCTGGTGGTTAAGAGTAGGGTTAAATTGTTGCCAGGGCTTCTTGAGTACTCAAGACTAGTGGATGCAAATGTTGAGGAATCTTCCAACGGTCCAATAAATTCAGTTCAGTTCCATAGGAATGCTCAGTTACTTCTTGCTGCTGGATTGGATCGGAGGATCAGGTTTTTCCAGATTGATGGTAAACGGAATACCAAAATACAAAGTGTTTTTCTTGAAGATTGTCCTGTTCGTAAAGCATCTTTCTTACCTGATGGTTCCAAGGTCATTATAGCAGGAAGGAGGAAGTTCTTCTACTGTTTTGATTTGGTGAAAGCAAAAGTCGATAAGATAGGGCCATTGGTTGGTAGGGAGGAAAAAAGCTTGGAAGTTTTTGAGATTTCCCGGGATTCTAGTACGATTGCATTTTTGGGGAATGAAGGCTATATATTGTTGGTTTCATCCAAAACAAAGGAACTGATTGGAACACTTAAGATGAATGGAACAGTCCGCTCTCTAGCTTTCGCTGATGATGGGAATCAATTATTGAGCTCCGGTGGCGATGGAGAGGTCTACCATTGGGACTTGAGAACAAGAACATGCTTCCATAAGGCTGTCGATGAAGGCTGCATTAATGGTACGGCTCTTTGTACATCACCAAATGGAAGAATGTTTGCAGCTGGTTCCGACAGTGGGATAGTGAACATATACAACAGGGATGAATTTTTGGGAGGCAAAAGAAAACCGATCAAGACTGTTGAGAATTTGACCACCAAAGTCGATTTTATGAAGTTCAATAGTGATGCTCAAATACTGGCCATCTGTTCTACCATGAAGAAAAACAGTTTAAAACTGATGCATGTACCATCATTTACAGTATACTCTAATTGGCCTCCACTGAATAAGAACTTACATTATCCTCGCTGTCTGGATTTCAGTCCTGGTGGCGGTTTCATGGCAGTTGGAAATGCTGCTGGCAAAGTGCTATTATACAAGTTGCATCATTACAATCATGCCTAGAGTGGATCTTCACCTCTCTAATTCATTTGAAGCATCGTGTAGTCTTGTAAGGTGAGTGCATTCTGCTGCAATATTAGTTTCACCCTTTCGCGATATCATTCAAAAGGTACCGCCATATCCGATGGCTGAACAACATTTTCCTTTTTTGATGTTTTGGTTTTTTCCATTTAGCTTCGATTTTGGATACAATAGCTTAAAACAGGTTCTTATAGTGTGTGAACTTATTGGTATTTTCTAGTTTTTTTTCCTTCTCTGATGTAATGTCGCTTAATGGTATCTTCTTTTAACAATTTTGGCATGCATCATTGAATAATTTGGAAACTTCTTTTTTCGCATCATCTCCCCCATAATTTTGTCGTTGTTAACCGACTGAGGTTGATAAAAGGATTGGCAGGTTGTTTATGATTTCTGATTAAAATTTGTGAAATATAATTGTATCCAGTCAACCGGATATCTGGGCGAGAACCCGGCGAATGTTCAATGAACAAGCTTGAGTCTGTTCTTTGCCTAATGGAATCATGGGTGCTCAAATGCTTGGCCCATGCTAAGCAGTGCTGGAATACTGCCGTTTTGCTTTGGCCATTGTCTGTAAATACAAAAGATCATTTCTTCATCGGTAATGGTATCTAATAAGGAGGCATTGTAATCTAGATGAAAAAGTGGACGAAAAGTTTACAATGCCATTACCTTGTAAGTTCAAAAGCTCTAAATTACTTCTCAATCAACTCGTTGTTCTCTTTTTCCTTCAAGTTTCTCCAATTTCTATGACTTAAGGATTTGGGAAGAATCTTTTAAAGTCATTGATCACGCGCAAATACTATCATGCACGGTTATTTAAACAAAATTTTCAAGGAAAATAATAGTTCTTTAATAGTCAAATTCTCAAACCTTCAAAGGAAATAAGAAGAAAGAAGAGGGAGGAGAAAGTTGAAGGAGATGACAATATTAGCTCACTCTTTTTATCTCTTGAAACTACGTCTAAGGATGAATCTCGAACAAAACGTCGTACACTGAAATATGTTTGAAATACATCACTAATGTGATATATTTAAATACGTTATTAAATAAATTATATTTATTTAAAAAATATTAAAAATGTTTATTCATTTCTATTAAAAATCATGATTAATATAAGAGCTTAATTTTATTTTAAAATTAAACTAAAAATCATTTATCGTCAAATTCCATCCCCAAATTAGTGATCGTAAAGAATTTATATAAGGTATGCGATCAATTATAGGAACAAACGTAAGAATTTATGATAAGGGTACGAACTTAAAAAATTATATTAAAAATTTAGGTATTTCTTACATAGATTAAGCATGCTTCTAACATTTTGAATTTTATACACGAATTCTTCTATCTCAAGCTTAGATTGGTATCAAATATAATTACATTAGGATTAAAATTAAATTTTTATAGGGAATTAATCACGGAGACGTCCTTAAAATTTTTAATATTTTTTTAATAAAAACAAGTTATTTAATAATTTATTTTATTATATCACATTAGTAGTGTATTTAGACGTGCGGCGTTCACCTTAAAATTTTATACGAGCAGATGTCATTCCTACCAAGATTATCGGGGAAAATTTGAGCGACAGGAATATTTTCATGAAGCTTGGTTTCGAAACACTAAAGTGATCGCCACCATCCATTAAGGCAATCAATCTCTCATCAGTCATCACAATCGATGGCTATCGATTACATAAACTTCCTTAATGCACCAAAGATGTTGAATTGTTCAAACAGCTTCCATTTTCTCTCATTTTTCCCCAGCAGAAATTCCTGCATTGCTTTCCCTTTTGGATGATCCCAGGTGTTCTTTGCCTGTTCTGTGTTTTTGTTTCTGCATGAAACATATATAGAACTATATAAGCAGTAAAACGTTAATGGAGAAGCCGATGACTGGAAAATGTCCTTGCAGAAGCCAATCCTGGTACATTGTTTTCATCTCTTTTTTCATATGGTTCACACTGTTTTACCTGTATTCTTCGTCTATAACATTTGTGAGAAGGGGAGATAGTTTCCTAGACAACAATCGAACCGGTTTTATCGGTTCATCCGAGTCTTTACATGATAAGGCCATTGATGAAAGAAAGCCTATTAAGTTTTATATCGACAGGGATATTGATATCGATCGGTTAATTGCTTCGTTGATGTCTGACAATAATGAAACTGAAACGTTCGAGACAATCACTGGCAAACTGCTTGAAGAAGAATTGAGAAATGCAAAGAATGACAACCGAGGCAGGAGGGAAAGAGCCAGGCCCAGGCGTATCAGGAGACGAAACAGGATTAAACCTGCTGCTGCTGCTGCTGCCGCAGCTGCTGCTTTAGCCAAAATCATTGGACAAAAGATAAACAAAGTTGTTCCAGAACCAAAGAAACATAATGTGGTAAAATCCGAACCTCTGCCATCGTCGTGTTCAGGTCGATACATATTCATTCATGATATCCCCAGGAAATTTAACCAAGACTTGCTGGATAACTGCAAGTCACTTAGTGTATGGACAAATATGTGTGAGTCTGCATTAAACTTAGGTCTAGGCTCCCCTCTTCCAAGAAACGAAAAGATTTTTTGAAAACGGGCTGGTTTTCGACGAACCAGTTCTTATTAGAAGTCATTTTCCACAACAGGATGAAGCAGTACAAGTGTTTAACTAACGATCCATCATTGGCTTCGGCAATCTACGTTCCATACTATGCAGGCCTTGATGTTGGTCATTACCTTTGGGACCGTATTGGTTTTAGGAGAGACCATGATGCGGCGGAGCTTGTCAAGTGGCTTGCAGGTAGACCTGAATGGGAAAAAATGTCGGGTCGAGATCATTTCCTGGTTGCTGGAAGAATCAGTTGGGATTTCAGGAGGGACCCCAAAAATGTGTCTGATTGGGGCAACGGATTCCTGAATTTCCCCGAATCGAAGAACATGACAATGCTGGTGATCGAGTCAAGTCCTTGGAAAAACAATGACTTTGCGATACCTCATCCTACGTATTTCCACCCTTTGAAATATGATGATGTGTTTCAATGGCAGAACAAAATGAGAAGACTGAAGAGGCCGTTGTTGTTTTCTTTCGCAGGTGCACGAAGGCCCAATCGAGACAAGTCTATCCACAACGAAATTATCAATCAGTGCCTAGCTTCAAGGAAGAAATGCAGGTTCCTAGAATGTGATGATCAAAGCCAGAGGTGCCACAAGGAAAAAACTTTGATGAAGTTGTATCAAAGTTCCATCTTTATTCGATTCGATATTGTCTGGTTGCATTCCAGTTTTCTTCCATCCAGGTTCAGCATATGTTCAATATATATGGCATTTCCCCAAGGATTATACGCAATACTCGGTGTTGATACCATCCAATGCAGTTAAATCCGGCAACGCCAACATCGAAAAACTATCGCAAAGAATCCCAAGAGAGAAAAGAGAAGCAATGAGGGACGAGGTCGTACAGCTGATTCCGAGTGTGATCTAAGCAGATCTTGCATCGAAATTGGAAACAATCGAAGATGCATTCGATCTCACAGTTAAGGGAGTTGTTGACAGAGTCGAAATGATTAGGAAGCAAAAGAAAGATGGGAAAGAAGTGAACTCCGAATTCCCTGAACAAGAGTCTTGGAAGTACTTCACATTCGTGAAACTAGGAGGCCATGAATGGGATCATTTCTTCTCAAAAAAACTTGGGAAACACGGCACATGAATCCGGAAAGAAATGAGGTAAAACTTGAAGGGCCTCCTATGAATGAGATGCAGCTTTTCCTTTCAGTTCTAGCTCCTGAATATCCATGTATTAGCATAACAAACTTGAAGTAGAAGCAACTGTGAATCTTTTCTTCTGCTTATTGTAAATAGCAGTGATAGAAACCCAGATTTGCTACGTACCACTTGTTGAAAGTGGCTACAACGACCAACTACATTCCATTTTTCTTTGTTTTCTTCAAACTGTCTTTTTCATTTTGTTTGATTGGTTGCTATTTTCAATGAATGGTGACTCTTTCAATAGATTTATGTTTTTGATTGATGCATGGTTGCTAATGTGTCTTTAGACATGATCTTACCACAAATCTTGTTAAATGGTATGAGAAATTGGGTAATAAAATTAAGGGCGTAAATCAACGATAGATTCAATGAACTGTTATGTTCTCTTATTAAGCTAAATAAACGAGTATGATTTTTTTTATATTCATTTAATTAACAAAAGAACACGAACAAATGTATGTTCGTTTCATTTATGTTCACAAACAAGCTTATTTATTGGCTCGTTTATTGACTCATTCATAAGTTTGTATACTTGGTTTTCCCTTTCCTTTGTATTTTTACATTTTAAATATTAATGAATGTATAGACTAAATTGAACACGGATTGAACTTTAGAGTTCAAATTGTAAAGCTTAAGGAGATAACGACTAGTGGTGTAATTTCACTATTTTTTGAACATATAAACAAATGGACGAAACGAACATTTTTGCAAATATTAAATAAATATATTAGTGAACCTTAATGGAACGTGCTGAAGAATGTTAAATGAACATTCACGAACACTAAACAAGCTAAGCACGAAATCATCAAAATTAAATAAACAAACACGAGTATGATATTAAAAATTTAAACAAACTGATCATAAACACCTTTAAAAATAAATAAATTAATACAAACACATCGTTCAAAACCAGTTTATTTACACTAATGAATAAAATAGGCGAAAGAAGTTGATAAAAGGAACCAACATCATTGTTTCTTTTAATTTTGCTTTCGACAAAACAATCAGTCTTCATTACTCGATCATTCAAGACCTCCAATGAAATTGCAATCTGAAGTCTAAATCAAACCTATATTGAAATACTAAAGTGGTTTTATTTTTATGGATTTTACCTATTTATTTTTGGGTAAACTACGCATTAACTACCCATCTTTCATTTCGTTTGTACTTTGATTATCTAACTTTCAAAAATTTAATTTTATTACTTAACTTTTGAATTCATTTTTTTGTTACCCAACCATTAATTGAGTAACAACAGTAACAAAGCACAACTATCGAATTCAGCTTGTGGTGGTTCGAATGTAGAGTGTCTTTGAAGAGTTTGTCACATGGGTGGAGTCCCCATCGGTCATTTTGACTAAATATGATTGAATACTCATAAGTTTGATATGCGTCTAAATTAAGATCATGGTAGAATTTGCTTATATATGGAGAATGTTGAAACAC